CTGAGGAATTCTGGGAGTTGAAGTCCACAAGTCTTAAAGTTGCCAAGGTTGGACACCCCTGCCTTAGAACCACAGCATCCCGTTGGGCAGTTTGAACCATGAAAATCCAGCCCGGCTTTGATGTCGTTTCTTTCCCAAGGAAGAAAACTTAAAAACATCGCTGCTCTGTTCCCAATCTGCTGCCGAAGAGTACCCCGGGTCCGATCCCTGCCAAAGCAATAGCCCTTCCGTGTTTTTTCCCACAGAAAAGACTCATCCTACCAAGGCTCCGACAGGTAGGAACTTATCCGGTTAAGTTGCCCTCCCTGCCAAAAAGGTCTGCCCCTTCCAAGAGTCGCCGAGGACAGTGCCGCGGTCGCCGGGCTGTTCTTCTTCTTTCACACGCCCTTACCTCTCGCCTCGCAGGAAGGTTTGTTTTCGAGCCTCCGTTCCGATGGTTGAGCAGCACCCACTCACGATCTTTCTCCTGCCCCGGCTGCAGGGGTATGAAAGGACAAAGGCGGCCTCAGCTAGTGTAGGCCTCCACGCCATAGCGGTAACCTAGCAACCCCCTAGCGCGCGGCTGCTTGACAAGCACAGACCAGTTAGGATTGTTGTTATGGCAACTAAACCCCACCTCCGTTTCCGGATGGGGTTTTAATTGACAGCTTTGGGGGGGCCTTTTTCTCTTTCGGAAACTTGTTTCAAAGACAGCGCTATTTACATGCCCCTGTTTGGTCAGGGACAAAACAGTCAATACTTTTTAAAAAGACCGGATTTTTATTTTTATTTTTTATTTTGCTGAAAGTGGCCAAACGGATGTGATGATTGGAAAAGGATTAAATAAATAAGGGGCTGAAGGGAATCTTTGTAAATGCCAAGAGGGAGGTGGAACAAGGGGTTTGTTAGCAACTGTTCAAAAAGGGGTTGGAAGGCTTTTTTTTTTTTCCTTGCTTAACTTTTTTGGGTTTTTTTTCTGCTTTTTTCCCCCTTTTTGCACTTTATTTTCTTTTCGTTTTTCCATATATGTCATGTATGATATAAAAACTCTCAATAAAAATGTCTGACGTGAAATCTGCTTGTCATATTTTTCTTTCAAGTCTTTGGTTTGCATATCTTGTCTTATTTTTTTGTTATATTCTTCATGTGTACATTGAGTTTTAGTGCTATATTCAAGGCCTCGAG